GCTGCGCTGAAACTTCTCCTACACGGAGTAAGACTGTATATACTCGTCTTTACAACCTCGAGGCGGGCACGGGTGGCTCATGCCTATGATCCTCACTACTTAGGAGGCGGACACAGAGACAGGCTGGAGGCCGAGTGCCGCGCAGGTACGAGGGCCTGGCTTGAAGCCCAAGTATTGCTGAAAATGTTTTTTTTTTTTCCCTGTTTTTTGTTTTTGTTCTTTCCCTGAGGGTTGATGACCCACACTTGTAATTTTACTACTCAAGAGGCTGAGCTCTGAGCATCATGGGTCAAAGCCAGCCCAAGCAGGAAAGTCTAGGAGACTCTTACCTCCAATTAGCCAGCAAAAGGCCAGAAGTGGAGCTATGTCTCAAGTGGTAGAGCACTAGTCTTGAGCACAAAAGCTAAAGGACAGCACCTAGCCCCTGAGTTCAAGACCTAACACTGACACACCAAAACCCTATTCAGAGACAAAAGGGGTCCCTGCCAGCTTCTCAGCACTTCTTCCTGGGGGTTCCCCAGGTATTGTGCTAGTGATTTGAAGCCATGTAAATGTGTCACTACTCCCAGGCTGGTGAACCTGGGCCTGGCCCTGCCTGGGCTCCATAGCCACCCTCCCCACCTCCACAGCGCCCTTCCGCTGACCTCCATGCTGGTCAGGTGCCACTGCCCCGTCCCACCCAGGGTTCCTGTGTGGCCTCATCTTCGTGAGTTGGCTGTCTCAGGGGTTTGTCCACTCTTCTGTGTGCCTGAATTCACGGGGGTCGGGGCCTCACTGCACCCCCTTGATGAATCTGCACCTTTAGGCTCCTGAGGTTCCCTTTTCCCACCCATTGCACCACCATATCCCTGCAGGGGCTCTGCAAGGCCTCCATTGTCTCTGCTGCCTGTGTTATGAGTAGAATTGTGCCCCTCACAAGGAGCTGCAGGGGGCTGGATATAGCTCAGTGGAACACTGGCCTAGCATTGTGTGAGGCCTGGGTTTGGTGTCCATCACCAAAGGGGCTGGGGGGAAATGGAAATCACATGTTGAACTCCTTACATCTCACCCTGGTATCTAAGAATGTGACCTTTATGGAGATAGGGTGGCTGGTTCTAAATCCTTAGGATCGGACTATTCTGGAATAAGGTGAAACCCTAATCCAAGATGACTTGTGTCCTTATTTAAAAAAAAAAAAAAAGTTTAACATGCACAGGTAGTTCATGCCTGTACTCCTAGCTACTCAGGAAGCTGAGACCTGGATATTTGACCTGGATAGCAAAGTCTGCCAAACTCTTATCTCCAGTTAACTAGCAAAAAGCTGGGCTGGAGATGTGGCTCAAAGTGGTAGAGCACCAGCCCTGAGCAGAAAGCCAAACAAGAGTGAGAGGACCTGAGCACAAGCCCTGAGAACACCAACAGAGAGAGGGAGAGAGAACGAAATTTGAGCAAAGCCAGACTCAGTGTCATGTGAAGACTGGATTTCACTGATACAAGCCAGAGAGCTATCAGAAGCTAGGGGAGAGACAAGCAACAGACAGTTCCTTTGTTGGCATCATTAGAGTGAGCACAACCCTGCCTGCCCTTGATTCTAGACTTCTGGCCTCTGGACCATTCTTGAGAACAAGTTTCTGCTCTCTGGGTGGTTGTGCTGTTTCTTTATAGCAGCCCTAGAAAACTCCATCCAGGCATGTATGTGTGTGTTGCCAGTGTTGGGACTTGAACTCAGGGCCTTGTGCTCTCCCTTACCTTTTCTGCTCAAAACTAGTGCTCTACACTTGAAGCATATCACCTCTGGGGGTGTTTTGGTGGTGGTAGTAGTGGTAGTGGCGGTTAGTTAGAGATTAGAGTCTCATGGATTTTTCTGCCCAACTGGCTTCAAACTGTAATCCTCAGATCTCAGCTTCCTGTGAAGTGAGCACCAACACCTACCCAAGCCAGACTTGTTTGCTGGTGGAATCTTGTGGATTATTTTCCTTGGCCTGGCTTTGAACCTTGATCTCCTGGGTCTCAGCCTCCCCACAGTAGCTAGGGTAATAGGCATGAGCCACCAGTGCCAGCTCCCATTAATTTGTTTGTTCAGATTTTTATATATTTAAAGTTCTAACATGAGAAACTTCCAGCTAGGGAAAAGTGCAGCCTGGTCCTTGGGTGGCTGCCGCTCAGCTTCAGCACTGTGCCACTGCTGTGCGAAGTGGAAGCTGATAGATTATGTCCCTGCACCCTCTCCCCTGGAAAAACTTTTTTTGGGGTTGGTCATGGGGCTTGAACTGTGGGCCTGAGTGCTGTCCCTGAGCTCTTTTTTTTTTGGGGGGGGGGTCTGGTCATGGGGCTTGAACTCTGGGCCTGGGCACTGTCCCTCAGCTCTTCAGCTCTTCAGCTCAAGGCTAGAGCTCTACCACTTGAGCCACAGCGCCATTTCCAGCTTTTTTCTTTTTGCTTATGTGGTGCTGAGGAATCGAACCCAGGGCCTTGAACATGCAAGGCAAGCGCTCTACCACTGAGCCTCCTTCCCAGCCCCTGTCCCTGAGCTCTTCAGGTCAAGGCTAATGCTCTACCACTTGAGCCACAGTGTCACTTCCGGTTTTCTAGTGGTTCATTGGAGATAAGACTCTTATGGACTTTCCTGCCTGGGCTGGCTTTGAACTTCTATCCTTAGGTCTCAGCCTCCTGAGTAGCTAGGATTACAGTGTGGGAGCATGGGAGCCGCCGGCGCCTAGCCTAAACACTTGCCTTTAGCATAGCCACAAAATAATTATCAGCCCTACCTGAATGAACAGTAATTTCTTAATAGAATCTACCGCCAGTGTGTGCTAGATCTTAAGAGCAGTCTCCCTTTGGGACGTGCGTGCTCGAATCTGGGAGCCCAGTGCAGCCCTACACTGCAGGAGGCTGAGTTGTCCCTAAGGCCCTTTTCATCTGAAACTCCCTGCCCCAGCCCATGACATTTATTTGTGGAAGAAACTGGGTCATTTGTTCCATTTATTTTTATGTAGGTCTGCCTTAATGTCCCCCAGCGGGGCCTCGTCATTTATCTCCAAAGCATTCTCTTTTGCTGTATATATTCTGAAGTACTTTGTGTTTTTTTGAGATTTGATTGTAAGTGGTGGCCTTCAAAAATCCTATTTTCTCTCTCTGTCCCTCCCCCCCCCTCTCTCTTTCTCTGTCATGGGGCTTGAACTTAGGGCCTGAGCACTGTCCCTTAACTCTGCTCAAGGCTGGCACTCTACCACTTTGAGCCACAGATCCACTTCCAGTTTTCTGGTGGTTAATTGGAGATAAGAGTCTCGTGGACTTTCCTGTCCAGGCTGGCTTTGAACCATGATCCTCATATCTCAGCCTCCTGAGTAGCTAGGATTGCAGCCACCAGGGCCTGGTACAAAATCCTATTTTCTCATTATCTTGATAAATAGGAATATATTTGGGATTTTCATTCTGGTGCCAGTATTGGGGTTGAACTCAGAGCTTGGGTGCTGTGACTTATCTTTTTGACTCAAGACTGATCACTTGAGCCATGCCTCCACTTTCCAGCATTATGTATATTTTTGATCCTCGTGAGTATCTAGTGGTATCTCGTTGGGGTTGAAGTTAATATTTTCCTTTTTTTCTGCACTGAACTAGGAAGTTTACTGGGCTCTTAATTTTCGTGCCTAGAACATGAACATGGGTTTCATGCCTTTTCTCATGTTGTGGCCAGACACACACACACACACACACACAGACGGGTCTTGGTCAGTGTGAGAAAATGCCAGGGACAGGGCTGGGATGTAGCACAGTGGCAAAGTATTTGTCTAGCAAGTGCAGCATCCTGGTTCAATCTCCACAACCAAAAAGAAAAGAAAGAAAATGGCAAGTTTAGAGAATAATGTACCAGCCATAGCGACAAGTCCCACCCAACACCATTTATTTCCTTTTCCAAAACAGTACCACAACTCTCTCGTAGTAAATAAACCTCAGAACAAGGCATTTAATTGACCTCATTGAGAAAAATTAGGACAATTCTCTCACTTCAAAATTCCGCCATGAATGTCCAACTGTGCCTGAAATGTAGACCCGAGAATGGAACAATTTTCATGAGCTCTTTGGGGTTCACAAAGCTGTGTGGGCCTGGTGATGGGAGAGGCCCCCGGCGGAGGCCCAGGCGGCCCTGTTCGCTGTGCTGTGAGAAGGACACGGAGTTGTGGGCATGCTCAGAGGTCCGGGTGTCAGCGTTGCTCACCGCAGAGCCAGCAGCAGAGGGATGGGAAGGAAGAGGTGAGGCAGCACGTGCCACTCCTGCGGCGGCCCCTGGCCACACCGTCCACACCTGTGTGGCTCCACTCTGGTGGTACCTGGACATCTGTTCAAGGTGGTAGTGGGAGGAAGGGCTGCTACCAGGCAGGATGCAGCAGGTGACGCCCAGTGGCAGGACTGGTGTCCTCATAGCCCACGGTCCTCAGGAAGGGGGCTCAGCACCAGTGGGCGGGGTGTGCTGAGGCTGGACAGGTGCCCATCTTTCTCCATGGAGTAGAGAAGATGGAAGTTCCCACACAGGAAAAGAAGCAAGGTGACCCCAGAAGACTTGAGCCTCCGGAAGTTTATCTATCTTAGAAAAAGCACATTAACTGGGTGTGAGTAGCTCACACCTATAATCTTAACTACTCGGGAGGCTGACATCTGAGGATCACAGTTTGAAGCCAGCCCAGGCAGGAATATCTGTGAGACTCTTATCACCAATTTATCGCCAAAAAGCTGGAAGTGGAGCTGTGGCTCTAGTGGTAGAGTGCTAGCCTAGAACAAAAAGGCTTAGGAACAGCACTTAAACCCTGAGTTCAAGCCCCAGGATCGGCATCCACACAAAAGATTTGTGTGGATTTCAGATTTGTCTGCCATGGCTGGCTCTAAACTTCCTGAATAGCTAGAATTATAGGCTTGAGCTACCAGTGGCCTGTTAATTCTTAGAAAATCTGGATTTTTGTTTAAGCTATGATCATGTTCATGTATACTTTGGGATTTTTTTCAGCTCACTCCTGTCTACTAACATGGAAGAAGTGACCAGGCCAGTCTCTGGGGCAGAGCTGGAGGACAGCGTCCCCCGCGCCCCCGCCATGGAGGACCGTAAGGAAGCCACGCCGCGTGTCAACACCCTGCCACGGGCTGGCCCATCTACCAAGTTCTTTTTCTTTTCTCAGAGCAAGAGGTTATATTATTGGTTTTAGTTGAAAGGATAAATTGTGGCTCAGAATTTTGGAAGTGGCAGACTGTAATTTTCTAGTTTCCAGCATCACCACTGAGAAATCAGATGACATTTTTATCACAGTCCTGAATATGATCTATTTTTATTTCTTTTCCTGATTTTTCTTTTGAAAATTTCTGATGATCTGAAATTTTTCTGAGATGTCCTTGATTTGGATCTTGTGCTGGGTTCCAGGCAGCCATTCCTGTCTGAAAACTGGTTCCCACCCACAGCACCTTTCCTGGCTTGGTGGGGAAGGAGTGTCAGCACACCCCTCACCCCACCTCACCCCTCCCCACCCCAACCTTCCATCTCCCATGGGAGGGGCTGCCCCTCAGCCCCGGCTCCCTTCTCTGTCCTCCCGCCCTGGGCTGAGACCTTTTTAAATGATTTACCAACCATTTCTGCAGAGAGGCTGAAGATCTAGAGATAAGCCCAGTAAACAACTTGACATGTTTTGCTAGAAGTTTGTAGTGATTTTTTTTTATGTGTACAGGCTGGACCTGGGGCTTGAACTCAGGCCAGGCCTGGGTATTATCCCTGAGCTTTTGTGCTCAGGCTAGCAATCTACCACTTAAGCCAGAGCTCCATTTCTGGCTTTTTTTTTTTTTTGTAATTAATTGGAGATAAGAGTCTCATAGACTTTACTGGCCCAGGCTGACTTTGACCCTCAATCCTTAGATCTCAGCCTCTTGAGCCGCTAGGATTGATTATAGGCATGAGTCATTGGTGCCCAGCTGCAATGATATTCTGTGAATATATGTGTGTGCCAGTCCTGAGGCTTCAATTTAGGGCCTGGGTGCTGTCTCAGCTCTTTTTGCTCAACTCTACCACAGTTCCACTTTGTTTTCTGGTGGTTAATTGAAGATAAGAGTCTTACAGACTTTCCTGTTTGTCTGGCTTTGAACCACAATCCTCAGATCTCAGGCTTCTGAGTAGCTAGGATTACAGGCATGAGCTACTGGCACCCGGTTATTTGGGGTTTTTTGTTTTTGTTTTGTTTTTGTCAGTCATGGGGCTTGAACTCTGGGCCTGGGTGCTGTCCCTGAGCTCTTCAACTCAAAGCCAGCACTCTACCACTTGAGCCACAGGGCCACTTACAGTTTTCTGGTGGTTTTATTGGTGATAAGAGTCTCACAGCCTGGCGCCAGTGGCTCACACCTGTAATCCTAGCTACTCAGGAGGCTGAGATCTGAGGATTGAAGCCAGCCTGGGTAGGAGAGTCATTCAGACTCTTAGGTACAATTAGCTACTAAAAAGCTGAAAGTGGAGCTGTGGCTCAAATGGCAGAGTGCTAGCCTTGAGTGAAAAAACTCAGAGACAGTGCCCAGGCCCTGAGTTCAAGCCCTAGGACCCAAACACATACAGACACAAAAGAAAGCAAAGCAGAAAGTATTTCAATGTCCATTTAAAATGGCAATAACAAACTGTTGCCAGTCACAATGTGTGACCTCACTGGAGGTCGCCTGTGCGAGTGCTGTGGCCTCTAGAAACTCCACTTTATGCACAGGAAGCAACACAGGGCAGGTCACCTCTCAAAAGAGTCCTGGAGACCCAAGTCCCCAGCCCACTCTGCTGTCCACCCTTGCCGTCCCTTTGAGCTGCTCAGACTTAAACGTTTGGTCAGCAGTGTATTTTAACTGTGGCCTTGATTTCTAGAACATCCTGAGCAAGAGGATCCAGAGTTTGAGGTGGAAATGCATCCCAGGGGAGCTGAGATGGCCATGGGCCCCCGACCCTGTGGGTAATACATCGGGGGCACAGTTGCACATTGGGGTATGGGAACAGCAGAGGTGCTGGGCTCCACAGATGGCATGAGCAGTGGCTCCTGTCTTTTTTATTCCAAGTTCAGCAAAGGAGCCGGGAGCTGACACAGAGCAGACGAAGACAAGCATCCAAGACAGAATCCAGGCGCTCCGCCTGCGCCAGACCTTGGAGCTCCTGGATGAGATGCAGGAAGAGAAGGACTTCTCCATTCAGAGGACAAGGTGAGCTGCTGGCCCAGGGTCCGGGCCTCTCCCACTGCGTCCCTGGGAGCTCCACGGGGCAGGCCTGCCAGAGTCCACCCCACCGCAGCCCATCAAGCCCCATGGTCATGGTGCCCTCAGCCTCAGCTCCCTTCTCCCTCCCTCAGTCTATCAAGTTCTGAGCCCCTAACTGGTCTGGCCCCCAGCAGGCCAGTCAGGTGTGGTGAGGCCTTCACAGGCAGCCTCCTGCCTCCTGGGTTCCTGCTGGGCCTGGTCTGCATGGTTCATGCTGCCTTCTCCCAGTAACCTGGCGGCAGCTGTGCAGGGCATGTCCCCAGTGTCTGGGGAGAGACATCCCGAACCTAGAGGAAAGGCAGCAATTCCCACGCAGCTGGTCTGGCTCACCACCGCAGACGATAGTGTTCACCCTGGCCCAAGACCCTGCAGGCCTACTGCAGGGTCACGACTCTCCATTCTGAGACTGGACACGTGCTTCTGCACGAACCCAGATGCAAATCTATGACCAGAGGAGACTGCACATGTCATCCTCAGCACCAGTGACCGGAGGGGACTACATGTGTCGTCCTCTGCACCTTGGCTGAAGTTCATCCTCCAGTGTCCCTTAGATCTCATGCTCTGCCTTGCATTCTGTCACTTTTAGCCGAGGGAAGAGACACATACAGAAGCTTACTTCTCCTCCAGGGCACAGGATGCTGCTTTGTTCTGTTCTAGAATGTGACAAGGATCTGTGGTCCAAGTGGCCTCAGGCCTGAGCTCTTCTGAGTAGATCCAGGCAAACTCTGTTGCCCTCAGCAGCCCAGGGTTGCTGCCTCTGGGGCTCCACAGCTGACCCCCTTGGCCAGGCTTTCAGAACATGGGTGAGCGAGACCCTCTGCCCTGGGTCCCACCTCTCCCACTGCCCCCTTCTACTGGCACTGGGAACTTACCCTCCAATTCTCAATCACCTTTCCAGAGAGGAGCTGAGCGCCTGCCGCCAGCGGATGAGCCTGCTTAGCAAACAGCAGAAGAACATGGCAGCCCAGACCACCCTGGAGAGGGAGAACAACAACATGTAGGTTGCCTCTGGGTGGGCTCCTGAGGCAGGCCCAGGGGTGACTTAGGGGCGTCAGGGGGCCTGCGGGGCTGAGAGGGCATCAGGGTCCTGGTGGGGTTTGGGGGCTGGAGGACCTGGAAATGTGAGCGTTGTTGGGGCCCTGGGGGCCAGGGCCTGTGCCATGAGCCTCTCTGTTTACTCACCGGGCTACGTGCTGTTCACGCACTGTGTTCAGGCAGGCCAGGAAGCAGGCAGCATACTCCAGCAAGGGGCACAGACAAGGCAGTGGACAAGGCTGGGCCCACGCTAATGCAGGGGCAGTGCCAGCTCTGGTCGCTTTGATGGGACTGTAAACCCACTAATTCTGTGGGGTGCTGCAGCCCCGTGTCCACAGAGGACCCCAGACGCGACCAGTGGCTGGGGCCACTTCTCTGCGTCCACAGATGCAGTGGGGTCCCATCCACAGAGTGCCATGGTGCTCTTCCCATTGCTGAGGCCCTGCCCAAGCCACCCATAAGATAGTCACATCCAGGGACTGACCGCTGCCCTGTGGGAGGGTTTCAGGATGGAGGAGAAAGTAAGGGTTCAGAGCAGCTCAGCACAGAGGGGCCAGCCAGGGTTTGGGGGAGTGCGCTGGGGTCTTTCCTGGGTCTGAGGCCTGCAGGGCTTACTGTTCCGAGGGTGGCCCCTGGCAGCAGGAGAGAGGGGGCTCTCTGGCAAGGCCCCGCCTTGGCCCCTGCCATGCGCCATGCCCCCTGCCTCTGGCCAGTCTGGTGGTGGACTTGGCTCCTGAAAGTTAGAAGCCCTGGAGGCACCAGGCTCCCCCACCCATCTCTTGGTACAATCAAGGTGCTGCCCAGAGACCCACCTGGCCCTGTGCTCTGTGCGCAGGGCAGCTGTGGGCCGTCTCCAGGCTGCATCCAGGCGCCTGCACACAGAGCTGGAGAACGAAGAAGCCCTGCAGTCGAGGATCACAGCCACATTGAAGGAGACCCAGTAAGCTGGGCATTGCTCTGGAGGAGCGAACTAGGATGCAGAGCCCAGAGCAGCTGGTGGGCCAATTCCTAGCATGGGGTGAAGGAGAGACCCTAAAACCCCAGCGCTGCTCTTCAGTGAAGAGG